TTCGAGACTGCAACGGATAAGGACGGTGGACGCACAAGGGTGAAATCTTTGTAGAGCACGGATGCCATGCAACTGCACACCTATAAAAGTTGAAAACTGCCGCTTATGGTCGTGCTAGGCACAATGCTGGCATGGTCACCGGCATCCTGGTCGTTAATGGCCGCAATTTCCCCACCAGCGTTGGTTATTGGAGTGCAAATGACTCGGAAATCTGACTCCCAATTAGTTCCAGAAGCAGTGTTTGCAGGTGACTCCCGGTTTTAGTAACCTCTGTCTACGCAGTCTAAACGCGCAGTAGGGAGGAGTAATACCTTGTTCATGTACCAGAAAACACACGGGGAAAGCTGGGGGACCCACTGACGAGCCGAATCCCTCGCAGCTGCATCAGGCAGCGGCATAAGGTCGGCGAAACTCACGTGTCTGGGCTTTTAGCTAATACCTGTGTTGTTAGCACGGTAAATCATTGCACAGTTCTATACTACTGGCTGCCTGTTGGCGGTTTGTGAATATTAAGCGGTTATTCCGCAGTAGCTGATGCATTTCAGCTCAAATATTCATATCAAAATTTGGAGCGTGCCTGAAAAGGCCCGTTTCGAAAGATTTACTCGAAGTTCGCGCATTAATTTCCTCGGAAACTAAACAAGGCAAGTAATACCTTGTGTTTGTTTATGGATCTTGGGCTCGAGAACCACGACTCGAGCGGTTGCCGCCTCCCGCGAGAATTTTGGCCTCATCAAACTTTAAGTTCTGTCTATGTCTCAGTGAGTGTATCGTGGCAGCATAAGCTATAGGAAGAGGCTAGCCACTACGACCATCAGGCCCAGCTCCGAACAGGAAAGGAAGAAGTGGGACGGGGGTTGGGAGGGTGCCATTTTCTGTACAGAACAAATGGAGAAGAGGTTGAAGGGAGTTGGCAGTCGGGCGAGGGCGCGTACAAGGCCGCGAGAATGGCGTCCGCCAACATAAGACTGTGAGGCAGTCATCCAACATCTAAGTCGGCCTCGAAGATGATTGGTCAGTTTGGACAGCGGACATTGGACGAGGGCCAGACTGAAAATAGTGTGCACGTACAGGTAGTCGTGTCCTTGCAGTCAACAGATATTTGGGGCACGGACTAACCTTATTGGACATCTCCAAACGCGAGACAAACTCAAAACGATCAACTCACCTCTCATTTTATAAGACCAGCACCGCTACCGTCATCAGATAGGACGCTCCTACCATCCAACCGTTCCAACCTGTCGCGATTGCGATCGCACTTCCAAATCCCGATTCAGTCTAGTCGGTCGCCTGCGAGTCTATCCCACTGAAGCAAGAGAACCAGTGCCGGGAGGCCCAATATACTCCCATCACACACGTCTTACCTGTCCGTATTGACCCAGATGTTCGGCCATTGAATGGACGTATTCGGCCATATGTGCATCAAAACAAATCTTCAGTAAAAAAAAAACAGTGTGCATATCCCATCAAAATGCCATGCCCATTCTATACAAAACACATCCCTAGACTTCACGAGAAGCTACTCAACGACACATACATGCACAACTGCTCTCCGTGACATTTTACGTCTTACTCCTGCAGCAAGCGTGAGATCCGTTTCTCCATCACCGGTATGATGGATGAAAGAATGCATGTCAGAACATACCTATCCCAGGCACAAGAGAAGCATATCCTTTTCTGCAGCCCTGCCCACGATTCGGGGAGCAAATCCTGTGTGGTGCGCGTAAACGTACGTTTAGTTTTGTCGGTCACAATCATCGTGTTTACCGCCGGTCGCCTTGACTTTATCTTGTCCCAGGGCAAGAATCGTGAGATAAGAGATAGAGCGTGCGCTGTTGCGCAAGTTGCTGCTACTTGGCTCAACTTGTAGGGCAGTGATAAAAGTCGTTGCTTGCGACGGTCCATCTGTCGACATACTCGCTTCTTATTTGTTTCTTTTCTAGACAGGTTATCATAACCCTTACGACAGATGAGGTTATCTGGTTGTTTTCTTTTTCCTTTATTGTGAATGTTCCGTCCAGAAAGACAGCGTTGTTGTATGCTTTGCATGTCAGTACCTGCTCCCCTTAACTGACGCGAAAGTTCCTTCCATATGCCGAGCACCAGATTTAAGTCTGTGGTGTCTAAAACTCACTGACTCAACCGTCGCCGGACCACCTCTGCTGTGAGTCCGGAAAGCAGTGAACCCAATGACGCATTTTACAGCTGCTCTCAAACTGTTCCGTCAAACGGTAAGTATTTTCAGAGCTCCTGAAGTTGGTAAATTTGGTCGTGTCGGTGTGATTCTCCCTCTCATTGTATTTCCTTTGTAGAAATAATTCGATGGTCTCATCTATCGGCTCTTGAGGAAATTATGCGAGGCGTGGTCGCGTTTGAAGAAGAGTGGCCAATTTAGCCCCTTTGAGAATTGTTTTGATAAACTGACTATGATGTCGAAGCAATTGTGAGTAAATCATGGAAAACGGTGGATCGATAGAAGCCCCGGTTTTGACTCTGAAGCATCTTAAACATCATACGTAAGAGGTAGCAAGCGCAAATGTAATGAACTACGTGAAAATATGCATGGAAGTATATTAGGCACTTATTATGTTACATCCTATGCCACTTTATATGTAATATCACATAATAAGTCCTTAAATTTTCAAATACATTTTATTTGCAACCGGGTACACGTTAATGCAGATTAGGACATTCATTTGACTGCCTTTCCCCGGTGAAAAAATGCAATATGATATTTGGTAATTCCAGAGATGAGAAATTCCAAATAAGAAATAGCTCAGTACAGTCGGGATGTGAAATTTGTTGTATGTGCCGTACTACCGGATACCATGTCCTAAGACGCAAAACCCCAAACAAATCGAAAGTGGATAGATGAGATTCACTTAAAGTAAAAAGTTCAAAGGCAACAAAAGTAGTTAGGATTATATATAATCAAACACGATTTGAAAAACGTGCATCCGAGAAATTTAATTAGAAGGATAGAACTCTTTGGGAAACAGCAAACTCATTGTGTAAATTTTTGAGACTGGTTCCTCAGCTCGTCTTCGGACTATGGGAGTGCAAAAATAATTAACTTCTAAACCGAATCTGGCAAAGGCTGCAATGAGTGGCTAAAGTTTGAGCCAGTGCGTGTTAGTTGCAATTTGTCATCTCCTCGAGATTGGTTGAGCCACTTTGAATTCGTATGTCGCATCTAGATCGATATGCTGGTTGATGCATGCCTCATCTGAGTGCAGTGCCTCC